TTGTTTATCAGGACACAGGCATTATCGTCAAACTTGACATAGCTTCCATCTGGCCGTCGGACCTCCTTCTTCGTTCTAACAATCACGGCATGGCGGACATCTCCTCGCTTGACCTTGTTCGCAATAGATGTACTTGCGTTGCCGTCTGAGCCGAAATTCCGTTGTTTCTGGACCACGACAACAATCCGATCACCTGCAATCGTGTCAAATAAGCAAACCAGCAACCGTGTATGTATATATCAAGGGGCCGGACGAACCTATTGTCCCTGTCTTTGACTTCTTCAGGACTTGGGCGCATTCGACGACTGCGGCGCCGGAATTGTCAATACAGTTGAGGAGGGTCTATGAACAAAAGTTAGCACAAGATTCTGCATGTAGCAAACACATGAGAAGCATACCTTTAGTTGTATCATCTTTGCTTCATTGCGCAATGTCTTGTCCTTCTGTTTCGCTTCCTCTTCATCGTCTTCTTTCTTTTACGGCTTCCATCAATCTTTTTGATTACCTAATCATTTATCCGGATTTATCATATGCCGGACGCCGATACTCCGGCTCCATGAGGTCCCGTCTTCACCCCGGCGATAAAGTGCCAGAAATACGGTGATTTTATATATGAAATCAGTAGAGAGAAGCTAGAATTCCTATTTTCTATTCGCGGTGCATGCGACAGAGAAACATTATAATTGAAAATGTCATTTTGGAAGTAAAAATGTGCTCCCGACTAAATGAAGTATACAACCACGTGACTGTCGCATTTGGCCCCCTTTGCGACTCGTGAAGAAGTTCCAAAACGGCGCGAAGAAGGCTGGCGTTTACATCGCGTGCGCAGTCCTCCTGGAACGTCGACGGCGGAGGATCTGTGCTTCCTGAGAAGACAGTGCTGGTCTTGTGGGAGTCTTCTGGGTCAATGCTACTGGAACGCGACTGTTTAGAAGTTGTGTTTGCCCCAAGACTTAAATCCCCAAGAGCACGCTCCCCGTCGATGACCTTATTTCATGACCCTATTATTACGGTGTTCTGGCTCATTATTGTTATTTTGTGATGATATATGACCTATAACGATGCCACGCACACCTACCGTCGAGAAGAGGGAGAGATTGACGCTCTCTCAGCTCGCAACATATGATGATATCTTGACAGATACCCTTGTGGACCATGTAAGCCCTGCGCTGATACTATGGAGATGAGACATACGGGATAGTCGATACCTATTCTAACAGCTATATGGTACAGGCTTTCTTTTGGACAACCATTCGCAAAAACAGGACCAAATACTTCCCTGTCAGGGGCATCAACGAGGACACTATTACGTCTATTCTCCTTCACGATGTAATCGTCGCCAAAGACGTGCCGAAGGCGGAGAAGCAGCTTCTAGCGCTTCCTGGACTTAAGAAATTCACCGATAGGCTTCTTTCTGACCGGGAAAGGGAATGGTTTCGTCGACATCTTCGCAAATACATATCAATATATCTCCCTGATTGCCCATTTGAGGTTACAACTACGAATAGATATACGGTTTTGACTCATGAGGCGGCAGTCTCTGCTAGGAAATTCATACCGTCCGGTCATCCGGTGAAATATCTCAGCGGGACACTAGTTTCAATTACCAAGGAGGAAGAAAATGACCTTGACCTTACCAAACGGGATTTCAGCATTGTTATGTCGACCAGGAAAAAGACTGCGTCCCTGTTTTTGGGGCCTGCAAGATTTGCGAACCACGACTGTAATGCCAATGCGAAACTAGTCACGAGGGGTTTCGAGAGCATGGAAGTGGTCGCCACCCAGGATATCGACATTGGAGATGAAATAACAGTCTCATATGGCGACAACTATTTTAGTGAGGATAACTGCGAATGCCTTTGCCATAGCTGCGAAATGGCACAGCGTAACGGCTGGTCGTCCCCATCCGCCTCACGTGTCAACAGCTGGGTGCATAGCTCATCTGAATTTGCTGATGCGTCAGAGCACCCGCCCAGCTCTTCGAATGGATGCGAAAAGCACGAGCTGGAAACAGATTCTGAATCCTCCGATGGTTTTCTAGGGAAGAGAAGGAAAGTTGAACGGAAATCATCGAATTTGCGGCTTCAGGAATCTGTAGATGATACAGTGGGTGTTGATGCAAAGCCAAACCAGGGATCACCTTCACCAGTGACGAATACGTGCTCGCCACTCGCCGGAAACGCGGAAGAATCCAACGATTCCACTCTGCCCGGAGGTAATAGCACGAAGAATAAATGCAGTACAGCCGATATTCCACTTTGCGATGAAGAAGTATCGGCGGCTTGTCGGGCGTCAAGAGATACTTCTATCGAAAATAGTAGTGGTCAATCGTCTGGATCGACTGCCGCAACATCTTGTCCTGGATCTGGCGACCAGGCGCCACTTGCACCGGAGACCGAGGATTCAACTACAAATGAACCAGGAAAGATTGAAAAGATACCCGAACTACAACTTAAACCTCCTTTTCCTCAAATAATTCTTGGAGATTCCGAAACAGATCTATCGGATCTATCCACAGTATCCGAACCAGTTGAATCAGAAGCCACAAATGATGCCCCTAGACCTAAACGGAAATACAAAAAACGCGGCCTTCCATTACCGGTCGTTGAGGAACCTCCAATATTTAAGGTTCGTGTCCCCGGGGACTATACCAAGACCAGTGTTTTATTGGTACAGCGTTGTGATCGATGGGTTGAATGCCAAACGTGCAGTGACTGGTTTGTTCAAGGAGAAGCTTATTTTACAAGAAAAGAATGTCCACGTTGTGAACGGCATTCTAAATTATATGGATATCGATGGCCCAAAACTGATAAGGAGGGTAGGCGTGACAAAGAAGAACGGGTAATGGACCACCGTACCATTCATCGTTTCTTAACAAATGACGATGAATCGCGGCTTGATCGACGGGGTCGGGGACTTGGTGTGAGTACTACAAGTCCTACACCGGATGTTTCTGAAACAAGGACGGAGACCGATGCAAGCGAGATTGGAGAAGGAAGACGTGTTACTCGCTCATGTCGACGGGCGTCCAGAAGGTTAGAGGAGAGCTGTGTTTAAGTCGGAATTCTGTGTATGGTTTTGTTTGGGGATATTGCTGTTTGAATGCCCTCCATCGCAATATCAAACAAATCAATAGAGAAGGAATGTTTCGCCATTCCAGGGATTATACGCATGAAAGGTGTTTTCATCCGTCTGATGGATTTGCAAGTGTGGATGGCGAGCTCGGAAAGTGTCTATCTTTCTCTTGTGTTTATATGCTTTGAGATATTCACCCATGTCGTCCTCTATGGTATATGGCCAGTATGGACCTTCGGGATACCTCATCACGACGGGCACAATGCTTCTGTTCTCTTTCTTGGCCTTCTTGAGCGCCAGCTCTCGTCGAAAACGAAGTCGTCGCGATGCAATATGATCCCTACTGGACCACAGTTCTGGAGGCGAGTGGGCAAGCCGATGAGCTGTTCGTGTTTCAGTTTCCTTGACCGAGTGCATGGAGTCGCGAAGGTTGCTCCACCAGTTGAGGAATCCCATGACTCTGAATCGTGTTTATACGAGCTGTGAATTGAGTTATCGAGTGAGGATACCCGAGATTTGTTTTACAGGTATGTCTATTACATTTACTTTCTATCTTTTATATCGCTACTACAACTTTGTTTGCTTTGTATGTTTGCTATTGCGGTTTCTTGTTTGTATCTTCGCAGCCGTACACCCTTGTCATTCACAGCTTCACTTTCAGTATCAGCTTGAATCATACTAATGCGGAGAGATGCAGGTTACTTACGGGATATCGTTAACTTTTAGCCTGCGGTTCTCAATTTCCTCAATTGCTGTTATAGGCTGTCAATCAAACCCAACGGCCTGCCAGTTCCCGTTTTGTATGACCGTTCGAACAATCCTGCTAAAGGATCTTCCTGGTCTTTTCCACCACCCAGCTATATCAAGATCCTCTAATTGACGTGGGGTGACACTCATGCATGTCAAGCTGGGTTTCAGAATCGGGCGTATAACGGTAACCCTTTTCGTTGGGACTGTTCACTTTGTCAAAACCGTCTATGGGCATTGGATCTCCGGCATCTTTGCGAGGCATCAGTCAAAGCCTGTGTAATGACCAAAAGATATCCCTATGCCAATGGCTACTCACCATATACCCTTTCCCTGGGTGGTTGCAACGGCGGAGCCCACTTTTCCTTTCTAGACTGTGATTCCTTCTCCTTTGACAACCGTATCTTCGCATTCTCGATCTCGATCTTCAAATACTCCACAAACACTAGAATCAGTATATCTAATGTTCTGTCTGTATTGCCGGCTGATCGCTGTCGTCGACCGCTTTTCTGAATCCGATGACGTTTCTTGTGTCTTCGTGAATATCCTCTTCCCGAGGAGGAGTCCGACGTGCTAGAAGTATCCGAGACCATCATTGATTACTGGCTTGTTGAATAATAGGATGCACAGGTAGATGTTGACGACAGACATGCAGCGCTTTATTTCTTGTGAGACCTTGGGTATTTTCTTCCTTTTAACCTACATAGATTTTGGCTGCGGGGAGGATACATTTCCTTGCTTGCTAGAAGATGGAGTTGTTTGTTTGTGTATAGTGTGAGATAGAAGCTGTAAGCTATGTATATTAGATCATAATAATGTAGAGAGAAGACATTTGTTACTACAGGACCCCTCGCATGATGTTTGACTAATAGTGATCTCGGTTATTGGTATTTGGCCAAATGCTTTCTCAATAGCAAATGGTCACAATTCTATTATTTGTAGTTCTAAAGTTTATAAACTTGTCCGCCAACGGGAGCTCTGGAAGTCGTTAAATTTATCGTATTTCTATAACGATTTCCAACCTACACTCGTTGCTTCCAATCAGTGGCCCACTATCATACAATTTTTAACCGGCGCCGGGAATTCAATGCTATGTAGATGGTATATAATACAGGACGGTATATAAGGAGACAAATGCATGTATGGGGAGAGAGATGATGGAAATGAGGAGATGAGTGTTAGATCAATGCTTGTCCCCTGAACATTGCTTCACGGACACCCTTGACAACGTCCTTTCGGTCTTTCTTGTTGACAAGAACGATACCTCGTCCTCTTCTGCCCATGCGACCCAAACGACCCAGACGATGAATAAAGTCGATAGTCGAGTGAGGAACATCGTACAAGATGACGTTTCGAACAGCTACAGTATCGATTCCTCTGGATCCCAGGTCAGTAATGACAAGGACTTTAGTGTTGTCTAGTGACTTTGTTGAGCCGGACTTTTTAGGCTCGTCATTTTGCAGGAAGGGTATTGAGCCTGAGTCAAGTTGCTTGCTCTTCATAAGCAATTTCTTGTCCTCTTCGGAGAGTTGTGGTTTTGCCTGAGTAAACTCGTTGAGGATCTCAGCTTGTCGTTTTTCCGAGGTGTCACGGGTCAGGGCAACGGCGTCAATTCCTTTTGAAGTCAGAAAGCCAGCTACCTCTTCGGCTGATTCGCGCTCATTGACGAATACGATGATATGTTTTGTCTCTGGAGTGCCGGTAATACGGGCAAAGGCATCCCCATCATCACCGCTTCCAGCCTTGCCCAGGGACCATATGACGTCAGCGCATGCAAGGGACTTTTTGCCATGGTAGGGCTCTTTGTCGACATCTACAACACCGAGTTGGACTCTTCGAGGAATAGCGTGGAGATTCGGAGTGACGAGTCTTCGAATATTAGGGTATAGTTCACGAAGACGATTATCCAAGTGTCGAGGAATTGTAGCAGAGCAGAGAATGAGCTGTTTTAGCGTTGATGCTGCTCGTTCGATTATAGAGTTGGTGATTGGTGAGAAAGACCGGTCAAAGAGGGAATCTGCCTCGTCCGCAACGATGTGAGTTACACGACTCAGGATGTATGGATTAGACTCTGCAATTGAGCTAACCAGGTGCGGCGTACTGACGAGCACGTCTAAACCGGCGGGGTTGAATAAACTATTTCGAATCCTACGCGGGGTCTGCGAGGAGCTGATAAGAGCAGAACGGAATTTGATCGTGTGTGAGAGCTGCTTGACTAAGTGCCCTACTTGGTTCACCAGTTCGGATGTAGGGACCAGAATAATAACTCGGGGCTTTGCAACATCCTGGTATGTATCTGGTGTTGTAAGCTCAGGGGACTCCAACTCAAATATGTTGTTCTTTTCTCGCCGCTCTTTTTCCTCCTGCTCCTTCCTCGCCTTTTCATCAGCCTCGATCTTGTCCTGTTCCTTCTGAAAGGCCTCAGCATTCTTGAGAGCATCAAGTACGGGAACAAGATAGGCCAAAGTCTTGCCTGAGCCAGTTTCCGCCGCGAGCAGGAACTGGTCATACTTGGGCGCAAGGTCGTCTGTTTGGGCAGCGGGGTCGGGAGTCTTGTTATTGTTGCCCAACAGTGTCGGTATGGCAACACGCTGAATGGGCGTGGGAGTGATATCCTCCATCCCCACCAGCGCATTCTTATACACTGCCTCGCGCACAGCGTCGAGAAGCGGGAATTGGTCGAATGAAGTTATGTCGGCAATCTTTTCCTTGATGGCCATACGTCGATTATACGGCACAGGAGTTAGGGCAATCTGCATCTTCAGAGGCTTCATCCACGATTCTTCGCTCTTTTCCTTATCCTGTCCTTGCTCTCTGAACTTCGGTTTGGCTGCTCGCCTGAGCTCGGCGTCCGATCTGGGGCGGGTGTTATCCCGGAGACGAACGCTGGTCCGGTTCATGGCTCCAAACGGGCTGTTCTCAAACCGGCCAGACTTCTTAGATTTCTCATCTGGTAGCACGGACTTTGCTACGTTCGGCGACAGCCTCATTCGTGAGGGCTTCCGTCGAGCATGGGCTGTCGAAGCTGCTCGAGAGAGCTGTCTCCATGGCTGTAATGCCTCGCTGACTGGCAGGAGACTCGCGCGAGTGATCTGACAGTACAGACACAGCGTCCTAGGCCTCAAAGGGGCCCTTGCCGACAGCATCTCTGATATCCCAGCTGCCGCTTCAACGACTTCGCTAAGGTTGACGTCGTCGTCGCCGTCGTTGATTTCCTTTCGCCTTCTTTCAATATTTTTTTATTTTGAGTTTGCCCGCCCGGATAGGCTCCGGCCGGATATTTGGCCGCTCCGGATGACTCATCCATTACTCATCTGTTGAATAACCTTCTTATTAAGCCGTTGTCATGGCAACAAATAGGCTTTTGCGTTTTATTTGTCAACACCTTATATCAACTCCTCAACTCCAACTTCAACCCCATCATCCAGACATCCAAACCATCACCTTCTTCTCCTCCTCCTCTTCTTCTCCTTTTCTCCAGACACAGTCTCTTCTTCGTCCTGCAGAGATACCCTGCTCTTGCAGTCCTCTTTCCGTTTCCTCATTCGTTAGCGCTTTGCGCGCTGCGCAACTTGCCTTGTTTTTGTTATTTGTTGTCGTTCGCGACTCGATTCTACTCTTCCCAATCCTTTGTGGAAGCCATTTTGATTCCCCATTGTCCGGTGATAAATTCTTTGATATTGCAGTCGCAGCAGATCATATCAACGGATATTACATTTACTAGCTCACGGCGAGCCTTTGTTTCCTCTACTTGTTTGAGGTATGAGTGTCATATTGATTTTCCCCGGAGACGCGGGATCGGCCATCTTGATATCATGTTTATACTGACCTGTTTCATACACAGATTTCAATATCTGCTGTTGAAAAATGGGTTCGAGTCAGCGCCCACTCTCTGAACTTAGCCCAGTGGCTCAGAGGCGCAACTCTCCCAGCTGGAAGGTACGCTAAAACAGCTTTTCGTTTTTCTTCTGGCCTATACCAAGTGAAACATCTGACATGCCCGACAGGATCCAGCAAGTACTGAATCTTCACCATTTGAAAATTCGCCATTGAGCAATGCTACCTCTCCGCGGCGCTTCTGGCAAGGTCGTGACGCTGGTTCGCCTTTTAGGCTGGGCCACGAGAATAGTGATCCGTATGAGGGGTCCCCAAGGACATCCTCTGCAAGTAAACGATCATCAATTGAGAATTTAATGCGCGCCTCGCGAGTCAAGAACAGCAGCATGTTCGCCAGGGAGCACAAGCAGGAATATGATCCTACTCACATTCAGGTTTTGGAGAGGCCGCTAGCAAGTGGCAGGCCTCTAAGCCGTCAGTTTCAAAACAGCCAAGATGGAACAAGTCAGATTGATGCTCGACGTCAACTCCCATCGCAGACTGCAGGATTTAAGAATAGTGGCGAGGGAGCGGGGACACCGCAAACCACGGCCAAAAGTGGAGACGAGGATGCTAGTTCCCCAATAAAATCCCCTACTTCCCAGTCGCCAGGCAAATCCTCGCTATCGAAAGCAAGCCGGTTTGGCCGAGGATCAGCCGCATTCGACCCACGGCGCGAAATATGGTCTGACGATGCTGATGAAAGCAGGGTCAGTATGACCTCCGAAGGATACAGCTACCATCGCCAGACAAAGAGTGTTACATTCGACGCTGCTCCCCCCCAGGTTAATGAATATGAGATGACCACACCCGTTCCTTCATCCGTGGCTTCTAGCTCTCGTGAAGGAAGCTTTGAAGATGCAAGCAATGAAGACAGTTTTGATCAAAGCTATTCCATGGAGATCGAGGATAGTTTTGATGCCTCCCTTGAAGACACTGATAAGACTCCAGTCGTACTCCCGGACGAATGGCGCTACATGAGCCCGGACAGTGCAAATGATGAGACTGTTGGAAGTGATGGAGATCCTTTTAATGACGATTTCGGAAGTCCGGGCCCTGACATCAGACCAAGCTCCAGGGATTCTACTCTGTTCAAGAACCGCATTGAATCATTGGACTCCAATGGGGAGCGTCGCCCACTTCCTCCGCTTCCACCTTCCCAATCATCTCCTCAAACTTCTAGAAGCTCTCCAAGCCCTGGTTTGAATGCTGCATTTGAACGTGGAAGCAGTGCTCAGCGTGACATGCCACAACCTCTTCGCCCTGCCTCTTGCTCCAAATCAGACATCGCCAGTCCTAGTCGCAATTCGCTCTCACTTGAGGATAGACTTAAGTTGATGATGAGTGGTGAACATAGCTATCAGTCCGACGCAGAGACACAGCGTGAGCGACGGATGAGACGTGCGGGAGCAAAAGAAAGGAGTGTTGAGCGTGACCTGGACCATAGCCAAAAGTCAGAGGGCAATGATGAGTCTCCGGCAATTGAGTCTCCCCGTATTTCACGCGAGTCAATCCTGAAAAACATGAAGAGCCGGGAAGAGTCTTCTGAGTTGAGTGAATACCACGATACTTCGCACAACTCTGGAAATTACAACGCTTTGCCTCTGGATCCAGACGTGCCAATTCCGTCTCTAGAAACCGATCAGCCCTTCGAAGACGAAACTGTGATCATAAAAGAGGAGGAGGATGATGACGATATGGATCTCTACTCTGTCCCCATGTTCAGTGGGAATGATACGAAAGGAGAGACTGACCATGCCGAGGCACCGGGTCACATTGTTGATGATTCAAGCAGCCGCTACTCTGATACCTCCAAGGACGACGTGCCCACCCCTCCGGGAGGTGCTCCCCATAACTTCGAAATGGGCGCTGGAGAATTGACTCCCACTAAGTCTGTCCATTCTCCTCAATACCCGGAGCATGATTTATTAGCATCGTCGATGTCTGGTCCCGATGCAGACCCTAATTTTGATGTTCAGTTCACATCTTACATTGATCAGTCTACACCTCCCGCCGAAGACAGGCTCGCCCAACCTCCTCCCATTGGCCAGGAAAATGTCCGTAATTCACTTGACCGCCCTGGTAGTCCCGATTCTGTTATTCGTCATCCAATTTCGCCCGCAGAATCCCCTGATCAGTCACTTATCGTCCCCGAGCCGATAGCAACTATTAAAGCCCCCGGAGGCACTTACAAGACACGCACCTCATTAACTCCAGCCGATGTAAGCACCATGGCAGCAACGCGGCGTAGAGTTAGTGGTCAAGATGTTCCGGTTTCACCCATTGAAGAGTTCAAGCCTTTGCCGCGCGTGGAACAACCGGTCAAGGAGGAAGAGAGCACTGAACCTGAACAACCGAAAGAACGCAAGCCCTTGGAGCTCGCGCCACTGCCCGAAAAGTCTCGAATTAGCTCTCTGGTTAAGCTTGATATCAAAGTAGACTCTGGCAGTGACGGCTTTGGCCTTGATGCCGAGTTTGACCGAGTTATGGAGGCTCAAAAGGTAGCATTCGATATCCCCTTTTCCCAACTCTCAGCACAGATATCAGGCGCAGGCAACTCAGCACAAGACGCTTCATCATCTTCCGTTGACAGAAATACAGCTGACACCACTACAACAAAACAGAGAGGTTACCTGATGAGACAGAACACGAAAATGGTAGTTGCAACGAGCCGCCCAGAGGATGACGCTAACACAGAATCCCTCACCGCTCCAAACTCCCCGAGGAAGGCCAGCCAGCAAACCTGGACCACTGAGCCTTGGACCCCCAAGGCGAGACGTCAAAGCATTAAGATGTCTGGGGCTATTCCTCGGAAGAAGATTGCGGAGGAACCTGTTCCGCCTCTTCCTGGTCAAGAAAGTACAGTTAAAGACGCAGCAAATGATGCAGAGGAGACTGTAGAGGCTGAGACTGGAGATGGCTGTGACAACACCGAAGAAGATGGTGACCGCGGAAGGTTGTTTGTCAAGGTGGTCGGTGCCAAAGATTTGGATCTTCCCCTTCCTCGAGGTGAGTTTTCTTCGGTTAATATGATAAAGAATAATGCGTACTCACCTTGTTTATCTAGGTGAACGATCGTATTTCTCTCTTACTCTGGACAACGGTTTGCATTGTGTTACCACTTCATGTCTTGAACTCGGCAGATCTGCTCCAATTGGTCAGGAGTTTGAGCTTGTTGTTATGCAGGAGCTTGAGTTCCAGTTAACTTTGCAGATGAAACCAGACCAAATAAAACCTAAACCACAGCCGGTACGGCCCGCTTCTCCGACGAAAGCTCCCAAACCCCAGAAGTCCTCTGCTTTCAGTCGCGTTTTTGCCTCCCCCAAGAAACGCCGGGAGATGGAACTTCGCCAGCAGCAGGAGGCACAGCAACTTCAGAAGAGACAAGCAGAAGAAAAGGCCCTGGCCAATATTATCGATCCTTGGGAGAAAGTCAGAAAGGTTGTTGATAAGGATGGCAACTTTGCACGCGCTTATGTATCCCTAGCCGATTTTGAGGAGAAAGCCTTTGGGCGCCCACTTACTGTTGATGTGACTTGTTTCAATGAGTGGGCCATCGACGAGACTGTTAGCAGTGTTAAGAGCAAACGAAGCACTGCCACCACTGTCTCTCGTCGACCTCCATATAAGATTGGAACGTTGGAGCTTCAATTGCTGTATGTTCCAAAGCCCAAAGGTGCCACTGATGATGATATGCCAAAGAGCATGAACGCCTGTATTCGCGAAATGAGGGAAGCAGACCATGCAGCTGCTAGAAATTGGGAGGGATTTTTGTCCCAGCAAGGAGGCGATTGTCCAGTGAGTCACTGCTCGAAGATAATATAATAATCTACAAGCTAACAAGTAACTAGTACTGGCGCCGCCGTCTATTTAAACTACAAGGATCTAAATTAACTGCCTTCCACGAGGTTACTCGCCAGCCCCGTGCCACCATTAATTTGGCCAAAGCAGTCAAATTGATAGATGACAGGTCATCTCTCACTCAAAAAGAGACATCTGCTAAGGGTGGCCGAAGACGTAAATCTGCCTTTGCCGAGGAGGAAGAGGGCTATATGTTTGTCGAAGAAGGTTTCCGAATTCGCTTCGGCAACGGAGAGGTTATTGACTTCTACGCCGACAGCAGGGCAGAGAAGGACGGTTGGATGAAAGTCCTCTCGGAGACCGTTGGAAAGTGCCATTCCTCTGGAAGTGGCCAAGCCAAACCATGGACAGATCTTGTTCTCCGCCGTGAAAAGAACCTGAACATCAAACGGCCTGTTGAGGATAAGAAACCAACTGTTGAGGAGAGGAAGCTTGTCAGACACTCATACGCACCCCCACCCCCTCCAAAGGAGCAACACATTGGTCAAAGTAGACCAACTCCAGGGGGCATTCCACGTCCCCGACATCAACCACAACTATCGCAGCCAAACATCAATTCCCAAGAGGCTCGACGCCAAAAGACCCGATCACTCATCTTCTAAAGGTCATTTTCTTTCTACTCTACTGACTGTAGTATAGCACAATCTCTGGCAGGCAATCTGTGCTTTTTCTTCTCCACTTGTTGCCTCGTAGCACAAGTTCCTTTTGTCGTCGATTTTCCTGGATAACTGTCTCTATCTCAAATGTCCCGCAAATGTCCCTCCCTCCGCGTCAATTTTCTTTTCTTCTTTTATTTTTCTATTTCATATGTCCATTCTTCTGCTCTATGTTTTTTATTCTTCCGTTTTTTTTTTTTTTTTTTTGCCTTGCTACTTTATTTTTTCGGGGAGGGTCGTCATGACACGCTTAATGAATATACGCAGCTGTGATATGATGATTGATTGGTCAAGTTATGTCTACACTGAGGAATTTACTGTTTCTCTGCTTACTTTTACTTACCTATATCTCTCTCCCTTTTTCCTATTTCGTCTTGCTCGAAGTAAAGCCAAATCTGCTTATCTGTGTCTCTTATGTATCCGCTGTTAGAAAAAATGGGATGTCCCAGTCATAGCCGTTTTTCACAGATACAATTTCACAGTAACGTGAGAATTGATACAGTAGATTCTTATGAG